CCAGGGGGCCAATCGCCTAACTGGATTGCTTTGGAAAACGCTATCGCTTACGATTTCATTTTGTTATTTCTAGCCCCCTGAGGTTTTCAAATGACTCGCGCTCTTTTTTTTTTCTTTTGCATTGGTAATAACAATGTTAAAGAAAATGAGCGTGAGGTATTTCGGCGGTTAGAAATAACAAAATGAAATCGTAAGCGATAGCGTTTTCCAAAGCAATCCAGTTAGGCGATTGGCCCCCTGGCCCGATGCCTTTGAATAGTAAAAAGTGAAAAAAAAATCCTTAACCTACTTATAAATAACATCTTATTCACAAAATAAAAAATAAGTTACCCCCAGCGCCGCCGTCAAGGATGGTGCCCAATAGGCTGGCAGCATTGCCACGTTGAATGGCAAGGCTGATCCGTTGACCAAGATAGCTGCCAGCCTTTTGATCACCAGTCACTTCGGTGAGTCTCTTTGATATTTCCTTAAAAAAGGAAGGAGCGCTTGGACCCCATAAGCCCATGGTCTCAACACCAAACGGCACAAATATATAGTTCTCATTGAGAGCTGAATATTTGCGCCATTTGGAGCATTCAGCAGAGGCCGCCGCCGCACTCGCAGCAAGGGAGGTGCTCCCTGTGTGGCACGGAGCAAGCATATCCGAGCAAGTTGCGTCTCACACAAGAGAGCGACCCTGCTTCCATGGAATGAGCGTCATTCCGTCAGGTCTCTTGCCATCGTCACGAAAGATGCCGCTTGGCTCAAGGACCGCTGGCACGTTGACTGCGACAAGAGCTCTACGGATGACGTCATTGATGCAGGCGTGGCGGGAGACTCGACCAGCGCTCATTTGGCATGAGAGACCATGGTGACCCAACTCACCGACGCGAGTACCGCAACGACAACGGTGGGGATGATTCGTCTTGACACCAAGTCGAAGCGACATTGCCAGAGACAGAGTGCTCTTGTCAAGCAAAGTCCCGATACTGGCTGAAGGTAACGCTTGCAGCCAGTAACCATACTCTGCCTGAAAGACCGCTAGAAGTCGAGCACGCTCAGTGGCGCTTTCAGAAGAAGCTAAAAGATCACTCTGAAAACGCAAACAGAGCGGCTCGTCCCACTGTCTCTGAGAAGATAGAGAGGTTGGTGGATCCACTCCTGGGCATGCCCTAGACCAAGCGCTTCTAGCCTCTGCAAGGTGAACCAACTCCACTACACCCAAAGACGGGCATAGTATTTTACTAAAGAGCTCGGCTGTACCATATGCAGAAGATAGACAGCTCAATTCGGGACGGGTAGATGCGTGACCTTTTAATGGGACTAAACGGTTTATCGCGATTTTAAGTAATCCCCACCTTACAGAAAACCACAATAAACCTTTTGGTGGTGTTGTGTTTCTGTCGGTGAGTACGATTCCAAGGCTCAATAGGGTAGTTGATTCCACCTACCCATGGATTGACTCTAAGGCTCGACGGGGAAGGCGTTTGGTTCAGGGTAGGCAACGGCGCAAGTGATATTTTTGGTATCATAAGCAACGATATTAAATACCCTAGATATACCAACAGGAACAAAATCGTAGCCGAAACCTGTCCAAAAGGTACATTGGACGATTCACGGAGCTCCGTAAGATGATCGCGTAGTCAAAAACAAAATAAGGCATTATTTAAACATTGAAAGTCACCTTTAATGCACACTGTATAAGGTCTCAATTAGAATGCGTGCGTCAATTGTTATATGCGGAAGAATATTGACCTTATTCCTTTGGCTCTACGCGCAATTTTGAATGTTCTGTTAGCAAAATAGCAGTTATGGAGTGCGAGGAAAAGAGACGGCTATATTACCGACCGTGAATATCACAAATATTTTCTATTAAACCAGTTTATAGTAAGTATTAGAACAAAGCTTGCTTCAAATGCGTTAAATTAACAAACATTGATTAGAGATACCTGTCGAAAAAACGACTCTTTACGTACTATAAGTACTTTTTTTTGCATTTTTTCACGGCGCTCTGAGGAATCTTGACTTTTCAACGGTCCGCGCGTGACTGTGAACCAAGAAGTGCTTGAGTAGTGTTCAAGCACTTCTTGATAGGGACACGTTTTGAGCGCACGTGGTGTATCTTGGGTATTTAATATCGTTGATCACAAGCGTCTATAGGCTAAGGTGACCGCTTACCATCAAGCAGGCCATAATTTTAGTTTAGATTAGATTAGATTTATTTATTGCAAAAAAAAAGGTACAATAAGATGACATGTATACAAATAGATTCTACATATTTTACCATAAATGGCATGCAATTTATACAAAAGACTAAATTAAAGTTAAATTAAATTAAAATAAGGGTCTTTACTATACAATTATAAATACCATGATATATATTACAAATAATTCCGTTATGTATTTTTTTGATTAAAATTATATCTATACAGAATTTTCAATCCTATTCATTCATTTCAAAATAAACCATGTAATACTAAATAAATAGGTAACTAATTTACATTAATCGATTATCAAATTATGCTTGTTTGACACCCTTTCAACATAAAAATGCTGAAGTTCTTACTTTTCTCAGGCATCTTATAAAGAAGTTCCCGCGATAAAAGTTTCACCGCGCGCCGGGAGCGCATCGCAACGCTGGAACACTCATTATAATAAATTCCTGTACTCTTATAACTGCCTCGGAGTTGTATTGCATTTTTATTACATTGCTATGCGGCCGGAAATTACTTTTTTTTGTTTTTGTTCAAAACACAAATCATTACTGAAAACAAACAGCCGAATTCTACATTAAGTTTTTTTTTTCATTAAATTGAACATCATGGTGGCTTTTCATACAGGGCGTCTCACGGCCATGCCACACGGAGGGAAAGTATATTAAATATTAAAGATAGGATATTTTACTACTGAAAGAAGACAGCGTTTTATTTTTAATTATAAGGAGACCTTCATCATCATCAGCCTATTAATGTCCACACTGCTGGGGCACAGGCCTTCCCTATGGATGGAATAGGGAGATTGGGCCATGACCGGGGCCCAGTGCGGGTTGGCGGGTGCTAACGACTGGAGATGCAGCTAGGACCAACGGCTTAACGTGCCTTCCGAAGCACGGAGGAACTCGTGATAGAAAATTTTTCCTAAAAAATTAGGAATAAAATTCCTAATTTTTTTCCTAAATAACATAGCATTAGAAAAAAGGAAGATCAATTTTTTTGTAGCGCAATGAAGTAAACATTCTACTACACTTTATGCCAAAATATTCTCATATTATATTCACATTTTTTTTTGCTCATACACCTTATCGATGTTACCCTATACAATGCAGGTGCATAGTGGAGTGAATTTATTTATTATTATTATTGATTAGTGAAGCAAAAATCACTGACTTTCGATAAGTTAAACACTTTTTTAACAAAAATAAAAACCGACTTTATAAAAACAAAACCACTAAAAAGTAAAAAATAATATAATACATATCTTTTACTTATAGCTAAAGTACATTTAAGACCTGTTTCACATTCGCTGAGTTAATTACTAAGTAAGCTAATCAGCCCAGTAAAGAATAGAGATGTTGTAAATTTTTGAAAAAGCGTTTAAAAGCAAGCAAACATGCCCTGTCAACGTCAAATTCAACATCCCTATTTGTTTACTGAGATTTTTTTTGAGTGTGTATGCTGTTGGTCGCAGATGACCTCTACAGCGTCACCGGGTTTGGGGACGGTGAGATCCTAAGGGGACCTCAAGCCGCGAATTGGCGAGTGCCTCTGGAGGTATTCCAGGCGGAATGGCGTCTCCCCACGGGGGGAGGTTCCACTCCGACTGGAGCCTCCAGATCACTCGAACCTGAGGGGGTCGGCTCAACTAGAGGGCGTCTCGGACCTCGGCTCTAGTTAGCCGTTGTCGTGGGGGGGGGGGGGGGGGGAGTTTAAGTTCTAAGTAGCTTAACATTTGGTGTGTCACCTAAGGCAGCCAATGGTAACGCCAAATTGATTATTCACGATGCCTTACTAAGTATGTCCGACGATGATACAGAGATGTTGATGTCCTTTTCAAAATTAGTGGTACCTTATCTTAGAGTATATTTTAATTTTATGTTATATCATAGCTCGCTCTAGTTAATTATTGTTTTGGTTTTATATTACAAATTATATATTTGTTTCTTAGGTTTTCATGCACATCACTCATTAAATAAAACTAATGATTTTTATCATTTTGACGAAGCAAACCTGAAAAGGCTGCGAAACGTCAATAAATAAATAAAGTTTCGTGCATTAACCCGTTAAAACTAGTTTTATTTACAAATTATAGTTGAACACACAGGTTTACCTAGTTCAGGCTATAGTATAAGTTACATATCTTTTGTTATGTCTAGAATTAAGTAATATATTGCAAAATTTCAAATTCAGTAAACATTTATTATTATTTTTATCTCACATATTTAATTTAATTTAATTTAACAGTTAGGTTTTTTATAAAATAGTTTTATAAGTTGTACAAAAACGTAAATACAAAAATAAATATCATATAAAAAAACTAACCTAGAAGGCCACCAGCAGCGGGACTAGGTCCAAGCTACCGGTGGTTAGAGCCGCAGAGAGAAACCGTCTGACGATGCGTGCTGTGTCCAGGAGTACTGCCTTTTGCATCTGCCCCTTGACCCAACCATCTAGCGAGAGGCTCTTTAGATATTGGTAGAGACTTTTCGCTATGAGACCGTTCACACTAACGACTATAGGGACAATGATCGTCGAATCCACATTCCACAAAGCGGTTACCTCGTGGGCCAAGTCCAGTACTGAGCTTACTCTTACTGAGCTTGTCCTTCTCGGCCTTTACGAGGTTCTCGTCATGCGGGATGGTGATATCGATGAGCACTGCCTGGCGTTTCAATCGATCTGTCAATACGATATCGGGTCTATTGGCAACAATAATCCTGTCCGTAATGACAGATCGATCCCAATAGAGCGTTGTTATTATTATTATTATTAAGACTCCTCCTTTTTGAAATCCGTTGAAATGGAATGTTTATTGATAAATTGTTGTTTTGTTCCAGCCACGTGACGCGGACAGCGAGCTGGCTTCCACCAGCGGAGAGCTGGTCATCCTCGAGAGAGGGAAGCGCCAGCAGCCAGACCGAAGAGGAAGAGGAACTGCCCTACGGGTGGGAGCAGGCCCTGGACAACCATGGGAAACCTTACTACATCAAGTAAGTTGTTTGTTGATGTCCGTAACTTCGTCTGTTTTAAATAAACACCAGCAGTGAGCTGGTGTTCCTTGAGGGAGGGCAGCGCCAGCAGCCAGGCTGAAGAGAAAGAGGAACTGCCTTACGGGTGGGAGCAAGCCCTGGACAGCCACGGGAAACCTTACTACATCAAGTAAGTTGTTTGTTGATGTCCGTAACTTCGTCTATTTGAAACATCAGCAGGGAGCTGGTGTTCCTTGAGGGAGAGCAGCACCAGCAGCCAGACTGAAGAGAAAGAGGAACTGCCCTACGGATGGGAGCAGGTTTGGACAGCCGCGGGAAACCTTTCTATATTAAGTAAATTGTTTCTTGATGTCTATAACTGCATCTGATTTTTCAAACGAGGTGCAACAAATTACCCCTTCTCACCTGATGTTAAGTGTAAGTGGAGCCCAATCGCGAAGATAGATGATACGGCAGAAGGTGTGCAGCTACAGTCACCTTTTTTTTTATTACGCAGGTAAAACCTCTATTTACAGACGTTGGTGCCCTTAAGGGGTACACCAACGAACGGACCTCACACCTGGCCTCTCGCAAGTCTAACGGGTGCGAAACGGAGAAGCCGTTAAGCAGTCCGCGGCTTACGAGCGCTTACGGCATACTATCCGCTAACAACATCCTGCGAATACCCTCTCGCTGTTTAAGTGCGGAACCGCGAGATCCCCGTTAAGGGACTTCACCGCGTCGCAGCCATCCTCACCTTGCCTGCCTGAACCCTTAACACGCGGAGCCCTTTTTTTTGTGACGCAGGCAAAAGCTCTGTTTACAGACGACGGCGCCTTTAAGAGGCACACCGCCGAACGGACCTCACACCTGGCTCCCGCAAACCTTACGAGCCCCCACAGTGGCTGCCCACTGAGGACCCCGTAACTCTTACGGGCGCTTTACGGCATAATATCCGCTAAAAAACCCTGCGAATACCCTCTAAGCTGCTTAGTGCGAAACCGCGGGATCCCCGTTTAGGGATTCTTCCGCGTCTCCGCACCGAGAAGCCTCCCGGCCTAGCCGGGGCTCCACGGCAGGGGTCTCCCGAGGTACTGCGGGAACCCCGCCGACGTGCGCAGGATATCACGCGGAGCCCTGGAACCCTACTCAACAACAGTGACGCAACACCACCAAAAGGCGTTATTTTACTGTGATCTTCTTTCTAGCGGAAAATCCGCTATGCCCTTAATCTCTTTGCAATAAAAATATACATACAGCTGCAGTTGCTTCATCATCATAATCAGCCTTTTAATGTCCCCACGGCTGCGGCACAGGCCTTCCCTATGGATGGAATATGGAGATTGGGCCATGACCCACCACGCGGGCCCAGTGCGGATTGGCGGGGGCTAACGACTGCAGATGCAGCCGGGACCAATTAACAACTCCAGCTTATAGTGCAATTTCTACTCTCACCCGGCCCGGGAACAGGCATTGGCATTCATGGCAAACGCAAGTTGTGTTTTGATGCCTATGACCTTACATAGATAATTAATATAAAGATTAAACCTCTTATTATAGATTACTAAAAAAATATAAATTTTTAAATGTTTTATATTTTCAAAACCAAAAAAAAATTCAGAACCATTTTTTCCAAAATATTTATACATCATCTTAAAGCCCTTCGAATTACGCGTCTTTTGAGTTCTCATAAGTCCTACCCACGAGCCGCCCGCTGCGTGATATCGGACCTCTAAGGGCACCTCTACCACAGCGGTGACACTCTATACGTGAGAGTTCCAGCGTCAGTGACCTTGAGCAGGAGCGTGTATGCGCTAGGGTTGAACTTGGAATTTAGACTTGTGCCAATGAATATTTATGCATAGTAAGTTATTAAATGTAAACTGATTCAAGGATACTGGGGTAAATAATGAAGGATAGTTAGTTTGATTTTATAATCAATTTTTAATCTTTTAATGTAGGTACTATAACAAATTGCTAAGTTTTATATATTTTCTCCTTTTTCGATTCGTTTTATAATTCTTATTATTATCTAAATAATAATAAAATTGCGTAGCGTAGTCAGTCTGTGCGTGCAATGCAGTGCAACGCTATTATTTTACTATTTCGCTACTGCCATGCCTTCGGTCGAGGCAGTCGGCGACTGCCCTCTCCACGCCCCGCGCGCCGCGCAACGCCCCCGCGCACCTCCAGACACCCACACATAGCCGCGGGCGATTTTACGAGCACACATGCTTAAGTGTCGCTTCTTTTCGCGTATTCTGTGCCTCTACAGCCTCAACCGTCACCAATATCGAAAAAAGTTTAATGACCTAAAATGTTCCGTGGTTCAATACCGAGGAACATTTATTTCATATTTTTGAAATTCGTTCACGGAAATTTTCTGTGAAAACACACGATTTTTTGTATGAAAAAAGTCGGTTATTTCGATTTCCAAAAAGGGTTTTCACGGAGTTTTCCAAAATATTTTTTACATCTTCTTAAAGCCCTTCAAATTCCGCGTCTTTTGAGCCCTCAGACGTCCTCGTGGTCCTAAACCTCGGGGTATCACGGGCGAGTACGAAGAAACATTTTTAATTATAGTAATATAAGTTAAGGGATTGTTACCATGTACCTTGTTTTTAGCGAGTTTCCGATATTTCGGCACTGTTGCAAGCGCCATGATCACGCAGTAACTGAAGTAACTCGCTAAAAACAAGGTACATGGTAAAAACCCCGTAAATAACTTCTATTACTATAATGTTAGTGACCCTGAAAGTTTATTCTAATATATAAAATTCTCGTGTCGCGGTGTTTGTGGTTAAACTCCTCCGAAACGGCTTTCCCGATTCTCATGAAATTTTGTGTGCATATTGGGTAGGTCTGAGAATCGGACAACATCTATTTTCATCCCCCTAAATGTTAAGGGTAATCCAACCCTAATTTTTTTTTTTCAATTTTAGATATATTTTTTTTTTATTTTTTTATGATACCTACATCATACAAAAATACATACATCCCTAAATTATTAACTTTCTACCACCAACCCCTATTTTTTATGGCGGTACGAAGTTCGCTGGGTCAGCTAGTAACAATATAACATTTTTAATGTTAAAACAATAAGGGGGCGTCCATAAATTACGTGAGGTGTTTTTTTGGATTTTCTGTCCCTCCCTCCCCCCCTGGTGAGATGTCGTGAGATTTTATTCAGCCAACTCCCCCTTCCCCCAATCTCACGTGAGATTTTTCAAAATGTGGGTTTCTTTCGTAAACGCGTTGGATTATTATTGTAAAAAGAAAGAAAAAAAAATGCTTCGTGCTTTTATTTACGACTAGTTAATACTAGTAATCAACATTGCTGACAGTTATAAGTGTAATAAAAATTTAACAATAGAATACTTAATAGATACTACTGTGAAAAAAAATTGCGTGATATTTGCCGAGACCCCCCCTCTCTCCAACGTAAGATTAGATGAGATTTGACTCGACCCCCTCCTCCCCTTAAACATCTCACGTAATTTATGGACGCCCCCTATGTTTTTTTTTTTACATTAAATAGGCTTACGCTTGACGGCCACGCGACTGATGAAAAGCGACGTAGAAGCTTAAGGTGGGACGCGCTTGCCTAGAAGAAACCGATCGACTCGTGACTTGAAGAGCCCCAGATTATAGGTGACTGGAAACAGAGATTCCGGCAGAGTTCCACAACCTAGCTGTTCTGACTATATAGGTGGAAGCAAACCGTTTAGTACGAGTTTGTGAGACCTCTACGGTATATCTGTGGCGTTTTGCCGTCTCTCTGGTGGTTCTGTATAAAAAGGTGAAGGTGGAATTAAGTTATGTAACTCCGAGGCACACTCTCCGAAATGTAACCGGTAAAAAACCGATAAAGAGGCAACTTTTCGCCTGTGTTCAAGACTTTGGAGTCTAGTCTCGAATAATTTGTCGTCACCGATGAGCTTCCTTGCACGCCTCTCAATGCACTCCAGAGACTAGCTGATATTTGCATATATGTTGCACCTTACAGTCACCTGAACAAGACTACTACGTACGTAGCGCCGGAGGGGTGGTCCTGCGAGTCGCCGCCGGCGCCGAGGGACGTGGTGCTCGAGCGGGACCCGGAGCTGGGCTTCGGCTTCGTCGCCGGCTCCGAGAGGCCGGTGCTCGTCCGGTTCGTTACGGACAACTCGCCTAGCGTTGGAAAGGTAATAGATAGATTTTACTAGAAAAAAATCCACGCGGACCAGGCAGTGGACGGGACTCGAACCCGCACCCTTCGCAATCCGGGCGAATGCACTGACCAATTATGCTACCACGGCCCTGATGGCCGCGTCGAAATTTCCCTAGCCTTAAGCTGCAAGGCAGCGCCATCTCTTCGCATTGTAGGTAACCCACAATATCAAAGAATTGATATTTCATAAGTGGTAGCATAATTGGTCAGTGCATTCGCCCGGATTGCGAAGGGTGCTGGTTCGAGTCCCGTCCGCTGCCTGGTCCACGTGGATTTTTTTCTAGTAAAATCTTTCTTTAGATTCAAACATCTAGCAGTTAAATGCTTAAAATAATATAAAAACATAAGGTAATAGATAGTTTGTAGTATTTACATATTGTTGTTGATTTTTCATAATTTTCACATTGATTTTGTTATTGACGACCTCCGTGGCCGAGTATTTTGTACGCCGGGTTCTATTAGTATAGTGGGTATCCGTCAATGTTATAGATAGAGAATGCATCCTTTCCAACTATAAAGTAAAACAAAAGTACCTAAGTGTAGCCGCACACGATCCATCGACCACAACCACAAAACGCCGGCACCGGCATATTTCTTGTAGTTTTCATATATTTTATATGGACTCGCCACACACGGTACGCCGGTGGCCGCCACACTCTACAAACTGTCGTTGCTCGCTTCTTGTGGCCCGCACCGGCCACTTAATGCGCCGATACAAAACGCCGCCACACGTCACTCGCGCGATTCCCCTCTCTCCCTTGCCTTAGTCGGCCGCTGTCGCGCACTTCAGCCACTTTAGTAGCCGCTTCTAGCTTCTAGTGGCGGCGTTTGTGGCTGTGGCGTGTGACCCTTGTGCGGCGACACTTAGTGTGACAGAGAGGCACCGGCTGCTATTTCTTTCTTTCTAGAAGGTTGGCAATTTTATGCCAGTATCGCTAAGTCCAATCTCTATATTGTTTACATCTAAGTATAAGCGATTGCGGTTTATCACATTTTGAATAGCTTTTCCTAAACCTTCCAGTTGGAGCCAGGTGACCAAATCCTCGCGGTGAATGGCGAAGATGTGAGCAACGCGGCGCGCGAGCACGTAATATGCGCAGTACGCGCTTGTTCAGAACGCGTAACTTTGCGCGTTTGTCAACCAGCGCGTACTGGAAGTGGAAATGCTCGACGATCTGCGCTTCTTTCTGCCGCTAAACGCGCAAGGTTGCGAGCGAGACCGCCGCGAGTGCGATTCGCTGACTCTGTCCAACTCAATGGCGCTCCTATGTATCCTGTGAGTACACCACAATCTCCTCCAGACACTGAAATATAATCTTCTCGTAGTGGCAGCTTATCTCTAATACTAAACGTGCAAGGGTGCAAACGAGACCACGGCGAGTAACAATCACCAACATTGTCCAACTCAACAGCGCTCCTATGTATCCTGTGAGTATATCACAATCTCTTCTCATACCCTGACATATAATCTTCTCGTGGTGGCAGCTTCTCTCTGATGCTAAACGTGCAAGGCTGCAAACGAGACCACGGCGAGTAAGAATCACCAATGTTGTCAAACTCAACGGCACTCCTATGTTTCCTGTGAGTACACCACAATCCCTTATCAAACACTAGCATGACATCTTCTCGGAGTGGCTACTTCTCTCTACTGCTACCACCATGAGTGAGATTCGCTGACTCTGTCCAACTCAATGGCGCTCCTATGTATCCGTGAGTACACCACAATCTCTTCTCAGACCCTGACATATAATCTTCTCGTGGTGGCAGCTTCTCTCTGATGCTAAACTCGCAAGGTTGCGAACGAGACCGCTGCGAGTGCGATTCGCTGACTCTGTTTAACTTAACGGCGCTCATATGTATCCTGTGAGTACACCACAATCTCTTCTCATACCCTGATATATAATTTTCTCGTGGCGGCAGGTTTTCTTTGATGCTAAACGTGCAAGGCTGCAAACGAGACCACGGCGAGTAAGAATCACCAATGTTGTCCAACTCAACGGCACTCCTATGTTTCCTGTGAGTACACCACAATCCCTTATCAAACACTGGCATGACATCTTCTCGGAGTGGCCAGGCTGCGAGCGCTACCACCGCGAGTGCGATTCACTGACTCTATCCAAATCAACAGCGCTCCTATGTATCCTGTGAGTATATCACAATCTCCTCCGGACACTGACATATAATCTTTCGCGTAGTAGCTGCTTCTCTCTGCTGCTAAACGCGCAAGGTTGCGAGCGAGACCGCTGTGAGCGCGATTCGCTGACTCTGTCCAACTCAACGGCGCTCCTATGTATCCTGTGAGTATACCACAATCTCTTCTCAGACACTGAAATATAATCTTCTCGTGGTGGCAGCTTATCTCTAATGCTAAATTCGCAAGGCTGCAAGCGAGACCACGGCGATTAAGAATCACCAACTTTGTCCAACTCCACGGTGCTCCTATGTATCCTGTGAGTACACCACAATTCCTTATCAAACACTGGCATGACATCTTCTTGTAGTGGCCAGGCTGAGAGTGAGACCGCCGCAAGTGCGATTGGCTGTCTCTGTACAACTCGACTGCGCTACTATGTATCCTGTGAGTACACCACAATCTCTTCTCAGACACTGACATAATCTTGGTGATTTGCAGAAGGCTGCGAGGTGTTCCTCAATGTACTTATACAGACAGTGGGTTTTTTTTATCTTACTTTTTCTTTCTTTCTTTCTTCATCTTTTAGGTAGATTATCAAAATGTATTAGACAAGTATTTTGCCTTTTTTTACATAATTAGAGCATTACAGGAATATATTGGTTGACAAAAGAAAAAATGAGTATATTATTTTCTGATAATTGACGGACTCAATAGAATTTCTTATTTTATTTATTGATTGCACATGCAGCGTGTTTAAATGTCCAATTGTGACTAAAGCGAATTGTGGCCATGCACCACAATTTAAGCGGTACACTTTTGAGCCGAGAGGGCCGTATTTTCCCTTTTTGTTTTAATCTAAGATAGCAGCTGAATGCGCTAACCGCTTGCACCATCGAGCTTTTAATATATAACTCGATTTATTTACTCTTTCAGCCATCCGCCTTCAGTCTCGGCGACCTGTGTCTTCCGCCGATGGCGAACGTTCTCAAAGTGTTCCTTGAGAATGGACAAACCAAGTCGTTTAAATACGACACGACGACCACGGTAGCCGACGTGGTCACCAGCTTGAAGGAGAAGCTGTGCATCACGGCAATAGAGCACTTCAGCCTGGTGGTGGAACATGTCAAGAGCTTGAGGAGAAACAAACTTACGCTTCTGGATCCGAGGGAATCCTTGGCGCGGGTGAGGAAATCATATTCTTAATATTCACGTTTATTTGAATGTGATCGAGTGACTTGTGCACCACTTTCATAGATTAATTTCAAGATACAACCTAGGTACCTATTTAAGGTCCCTGATTAAGTTGTCAAAGTGGAAAACAAACTGTCTGTTGTTTCGTATATGGATTGTGGTGTGGCAATATTTCAGTTTAGTGTCGCCGCACACGGGCCACCGACCACAACCACAAAACGCCGCCACCGGCATATTTCTTGTTGTTTTCATACATTTTATATGAACTCGCCACACACGGTACGCCGGTGGCCGCCACACGCTACAAATCGTCGTTGCTCGCTTATTGTGGCCCGCACCGGCTACTTCATGCGCCGATACAAAACGCCGCCACACGTCACTCGCGCGATTCCCCACCCCTCTCTCCCTTACCTTAGTCGGCCGCTGTCGCGCGCTTCAGCCACTTTAGTAGCCGCTTTTAGCTTCTCGTGGCGGCGTTGGTGGTTCTGGCATGTGGCCCGTGTGCGGCGACACTTAGTTTATATGATTATGCCACACAATACTCACGGTCTATGCCTCGTGTACGTTTTGTAAAATGTTTTTATAGTCATTGATTTAAGTACTATTTCTTTATAATTTTTATGTAAGTAGTGTAAAGGAAAGAATTTCACAACAAGTATTCTACAAGTTTTGTGTTAGACTAGTATATGACTTGTTTCTTGGTGGAAACAAGGGGTCAGACTTGTGTTATAGGCTACTAGGAAATTAACCGTTTTCCTATAGATAAGTATTTTGTAGAAAAAAATGGGTGCGTGTACTTATGTAGGCGCGTGAGAAGTTATCCTTCTTTGGCATCGTTTAAAATTAGTTTTTAATTGCATGCAAATAATTAATTACAATAAATTAATAAAAAGTCTGGAAAAGGACACAGTCAATAAAGTTCAGTTTTAATTTGAAAAAATAAATAAATAATCAAAATATTCAATTAAAATCGCTACTGAATATAATTTATTAGAACATATGTGATTTGCACTTGTATGAAACTCAAACACGTATTCCGAATATACAAACTAGAAACATGTGGATAAATATTATAAATATGAATACCTATAACTGTTACTTTATTACAAAAAATAAAGATGTGGTTTTTGGTTCTACTACACCAATGGTCAAGAGATGGCGCTGTAGTCTCCTGAATCGCGTTTTGGTTCCGTTATTCCAGATTAATAAATACTTTTTGTTACTTTATTACAAAAAATAAAGATGTGGTTTTTGGTTCTACTACACCAATGGTCAAGAGATGGCGCTGTAGTCTCCTGAATCGCGCTTTGGTTCCGTTGTTCCAGATTAATAAATACTTTTGATAGGCCTTCACAATGCACCCACTAAATAGAGATTCTATTTCTATTTTGTTGGTAGATTTTCTTAATGTGCGGTAAACACAAAAGTAAAATTTTGTGTTACAGTGATGCGCGCGCATCTTAAAATGTCACTCTCATCATTTTTTCATAACGCGCCTAAAGAAGTATAACTTCAAAAATATAGTAACAGCCATAAACTAGCTACATTAAAGTTCGTATTCATCATAGAAAAAAATGCCATACCGGGATTCTAACCCAGTAGTATACCCTTGTACGAAGGCCAAAGGGGAAGATCTTCCTCCGAGCTGGATGATGGTAGCTCGGGGGCCGCGGCCCGACTGATGTTGGTCGGGTATCGTATATATGAAGAGTTAGCCTCCGAATTTCATTTGCGCGATGTAGGCTTCTGTAACGTGTATTGAAACGACGGTTGTAGGATGCAGACTGTCTTTATTTCTCATGGTAACCGTTGATCAGTTTTTACAACATACCTCCAATTAATAACTATAATATTACATCATCCTCCTTAACAAAACGAAAAAAAAAAACAAAACATGCGCACAATCGTATTATAAATTACCTTTGTATAATATGCGTACTTTTTTTTTATATATATTTTCCTATACAAAACTGTACAGAACCATATTTTTCAAATTATATTCTTCTTACACTATAATAACATTAAATTAAATTATCTATATACAGAAACTGTATAATATTCATTTAAATATTAACAGATACAATTTTCTATCTACCAATAACAACCTTTTTAAAATGGGAAATTGTAACTATGAAAATCTTATTACTGGACTGAATTAAATAAATGCTTTGTTTATGATATTGTTTTTATTTTAAAACATTTTTATTTTATTTATTTTTTTACCATCCTACCGGCTAGCTCCATATTGACGGCTTCCCCCAGAATCGAACCCGCCACCTCGCGAGTATGAAGTAGCGTGAGAGTGCGCGCCTCTCCACGGACCGCGACCACGTCCCCCACGCCACAACGATGATGATGACGATAACCCACGAAAGTCGCGCCGTCCGCGTCCATTTATTGCATCATGTCTCCTGATTGCATCAATCTGACCCTCATTTTCCTGACTCTCATTATATAACTGAAATACTGGTTTAACTTCCTTTTTTATGTCCTCACTATAAATTCGAGACACAACTGCAGCCCTACATATCTCCAATGCCTTTTTAAGTATTAAATCCTCTTCACGTAATAAACGTTCTCGAATGTTCGCACTAGTTACCCCGCAGACCAGCCTGTCTTTTATTAACTCTTCGTTCATAGTATTAAAATCACACGATTGAGATAATCTGCGTAACTCGAACACGTACTGTTCAATGGTTTCACCTTCTCTCTGTTCTCTTGAAAAAAATTTATGACGCTCGACGGTTACATTTTTCTTACATTTAAATTGATCGTCCAATTTTTGCAACGCACCTTCAACAGTTGTAATGTTTTCTCCACCTTGGTATAAGATTTCCCGACATTGTTCACCGATTACGTGCAAAAAGATATTATACTGCACATCTGCCGCCTTTTTGTTGATCTCACACGCTTTAATATAAATTTCGTAGCTTCTCTTCCACTTTACCCACATCTCATGCAGGCTGCCAGATAGTAAGTCTACTGAATTACCATCGTAGGTAAATGGCTGAGGAGGAGATAAAATGCTTTCCATTATATTCGCACTAAAAATAATATATTTTTTTCTAAACCCGGCTGCGCCATGTAACGTGTATTGAAACGACGGTTGTAGGATGCAGACTGTCTTTATTTCTCATGGTAACCGTTGATCAGTTTTTACAACATACCTCCAATTAATAACTATAATATTACAGGCTTCCATACTAATATTGATCGCAGTGCAGGTAATGCCATCTCTTGAGGATGGTGAGTAATTTTTTCCTACATCCGTTGTATATCTGTGGGGCATATAGATGCCGCCGCCACACCCTAAGTAGACGACACTTTAAAAGCTGGTGTACAAAATTCTCACACTAGGAAGTTCGTGAAAAAGATTTCTCTTATTACAGATAGCAGCACGGCCAGGCTCGCACAAGATGCGTTGCTTATTCCGCGCCGCCTTCATGCCTTCATGCGCGCGCGCTTTGGCCCGTCGCGATACCGCCGCCCTAGAATACCTGTACACTCAGTGCTGCAACGATGTCGCGCAAGAACGATTTGCGCCAGAACTGCAGCCCGATGTTGCGCTGCGACTCGCCGCGTTACACATCCATCAACACGCCCTCGACAACAACCTCGCGCCCGCCAGGCTCACCATCAAGGCTGCGGAGTGAGTACTGCACATTATTATTTCCTTCCAGGCGGGGGATGGGGTGTGAAATCCTCATGGGAAGGGTCATGTTAGACTCTTACTGACCAAAACACCCGTGGGGGGACGCGTATGACCATAAGGGAATTACAGGCTTCGTCTGATGCGATCTTCCAGAAGGGAATGATGCAGTACTGCACACTGTACTAGGGTCAGATTTAAGTCAGACTACGGCCAGGGCCTCCGCAAAAGAGGGGCTTCACATCCGACTTGAAAATAACCAAATTTCAACGGGTCACTATCTGTATACGTCTACACTTAGTGCTGCAACGATGTTGCGCAAGAATTGTCTATCTCCACTCACGTTTATGAAGGTAATATATAAAACTAGGTAAAGCTGAGCATAGCAATCGTCCGTAGTGTGAACCTAAATTTAACAGATGTGGAGATTTTATGAACGAAACATAGTTTGTTTTACTTCGCCGTCTGATTTGTACTGAAATAAACTGAATATAAAAATTCTGGAGGCAGAAGTTATTTACCCTGACTCCGCCACCTTAAAATACCTATATACACTCATTGCTGCAATGATGTCGCGCAAGAACGGTTTGCGCCAGAACTGCAGCGCGACGTGGCACTACGTCTCGCCGCGTTACATATCCATCAACACGCTCTCTACAACAACCTCGCGCCCGCCAGGCTCACTATCAATGCTGCTGAGTGAGTACTGTACACTGTACTAGCGCCAGATTTAAGACAGGATAGACGATACTACGGCCCAGGGGCCTCCACAAGATTTCCAAAATTCAACGGATCACTATCTTAAGGTACTATTCCGTGCATCGCGATCGATCGCGGTCGCGCGCGGCCTACGACTATCGTCGGTCGCTCGCGACAATAGTTAGAGTATGAAAATGTATGGCACCGCTTCCGAGGCCCGCGACTGCCGCGCGCGGCTGTGTCTCAAAGTTAGTCGGTGTTGTTCGTCAGATCCCTCTAGACGTGTGTCTACCGAAGTCAAAATCATGGTCGAAGTGCTAATTTTAGTATATAATATGATTCTCTTTCGATAATGGTTGGGGTACTGTACCCCTAGCACGAACCATTATCGAATTCGAATGGTTTGCAAACCGAAATGTCAATGTCAAATTTTGTATGGAAACTTGAACAGCAGCGGCACAAAGTACGTAACGAGATCTTTAGATCTTCTTCGAATTCGATAATGGTTCGTGCTAGGGGTACAGTACCCCTAGCATGAACCAATATCGAATTCGAAGCGTGCTAAGGGTACAGATAAGTGACAAATATATTAGTTACTTAGCTAATGCAATCATTATCCTTTTTTTAAGGGAATTCGGTTTAGAGCGGTTCGTGCCGAGCGGTTTGCTGGAAAGCATGAAGCGGAAAGAGCTGCGAAGACTGCTGGCGCACTTTCTGAAACTAAACACGCAGACGACGGCTGGACAAGGACCGCTTACACAACTCCAGGTATAATAGAACACTACGCGGAAGAATCCCTAAACGGGGATCCCGCGGCTTTGCGCTAAGCAGGTTAGAGGGTATTCGCAGGGGTTTTTAGCAGATATTATGCCGTAAAGCGCCCGTAAGAGTTACGAGGTCCTCAGTGGGCAGCCACTGTGGGGGCTCGTAAGGTTTGCGGGAGCCAGGTGTGAGGTCCGTTCGGCGGTGTGCCTCTTAAAGGCGCCGTCTTCTGTGAATAGTATTTTTTGCCTGCGTATAAAAAAAAGGTATAATAGAACACTTGATTTTTAAACAACGCCTAGCTTATACATCATCCACTGTGAAATTTATGTAAGAATCTGATGCAACAAAGAATTGAGAACTAAGAACAAGTCTCGCTACCGCGACCCTGACGGCCGTGTCGATTTTTTCCTAGCTTTAGGCTGCAAGGCAGCGCCATCTCTTCGCATTGCAACCCACAATGACAAATGAATACTTTTACAATTATTAAACATTTAATTACTCTATGTTTTGTTCTGTTCATTGAATTACACATGGCAAATGATGACCTCCGTGACCGAGTGGTTTTTACGCCGGGTTTCATGGTGTCACCGACTCGAGAGGTCCCGGGTTCAAATCCCGGTGGGGGCAAATGTTTGTGTGATGAATACGAGCATTTGTACTCCAGTCATGGATGTTTAATATGCATTTCTATAAAAATATACTTATATATGTACAGTATATGTATTCTATCCGTTACCCTAGTATCCCATAACACAAGCCTTACAGTGCTTACTTTGGGGCTAGGCTAATTGGTGTGAGTGTTGGAAATATTTATTTATTTATCTGTCATAAGCAGTGAGCGAATAGGCCTACTGGTTAGACAACCTAGTTGAGCTTCGGCCCCTCGATCGTTTGCCATCAACATTTCTGGTTACCTTAAAGCATCTCAAGGCTATGTTCATATTACATGGCAAATACAAAAAATATATCAAGATCTCTCGCAGGCAGGTAGTGGTAAGCAATACCTATCTGAATACAAAAGTTTTTCTTTAAATTGCAGGCAAAGTTACAATACCTTGATATAGTAGCCAGCCTGCCCAGCTACGGCGCCAAGTGTTTCAGCAGCAGTCGGCCAGAGAGGGTCTTACTCGTGTCGCCGCGCTTCGGGATCAGCCACATAGTCGGCAGAAGTAATTCTGTGGTGAGTACACACTATATTAATTTACCCACAGCTGGGTTATATTATATCTATATATATATAATTCAAAGGTGACTGACTGACATAGTGATCTATCAACGCACAGCCCAAACCACTGGACGGATCGGGCTGAAATTTGGCATGCAGGTAGATGTTATGACGTAGGCAACCGCTAAGAAAGGATTTTGATCAATTCTACCCCCAAGGGGATAAAATAGGGAATGAAAGTTTGTATGAAACTTTGTCAATTTTAAACCGATCGGGCTGAGACTTTGCATGCAGGTATAAGAAGAATCATAGATGAATGTTATTGTGTATAATACAAGTCTGAGAACAAAAACTGTAGTCTACACTGCAGCTTTACACCGACTTTCACTATTCAAATGTTTTAATTTGGTACATCAATTTTTTGAGCCTACTAGAGTAACATCTCATTCAGTTACTTGTTTGGATAATATATTTACTGATTATAATCCAGTTAGTAAATCAATTATTAATTGTATCACATCAGATCATTACGGCTTAAAAATAACATATAATACAAATGACACTACTAAGCCCAAATTCATTGAATTAAGACCAGTAACAAATAAACGTTTAGAAATTTTTCAAAACAATATTGATGATAAAATGTTTCAAATGCCATGGACACATGAGGATCCTAATATTCTTTACGGCAATATGTTCACTTTGGTTAAGAAAGAATTCGATAAGGCTTTTCCGCTTAAAACTTTGAAATTAACTCAAAAGTTGAACTTCTGTGACTGGGCTACGTCTGGTATTTATAAGAGCAGAAATAAACTTTATGATTTGTACTACTTAAGGAAGTACAATCGCTCTCAGGGTTTCATTGATTATGTTAAAAGGTACTCAAAAACATTCAAAAGTGTATGTGCAACAGCCAAATCCAATTACATAAAAAATAAAATCATAAAATCTAATAATAAAATTAAAACGACATGGAATGTTATTAATAGAGAAACTGGTAAAGAAAGAACCCTCGATGATGGGATCGCACTTAAAGTAGATAATATTCAAATTAAAACAAAAGAACAGATTGCCAATACTTTTAATGAATATTTCGTTAATATACCATTAATTACTACTTCTAATTTGAATTCGACGCCAGCGGGTGCTAAGAGTTTGCTAGAGACGTGTGTGCCTCGGTGTAATAACCTGTTTACGTTTAAACATGTTGATTTTATGGATATTATAAAATGCTTTAACTCACTTAAAAAGAAAAATACGTGTGATTTGTTTGGAATGTCTATTAAAATTACTAAAAGTATAATAACAGTTATCGCTCCTTATCTTGCAGATATATTCAATAAGTGTATTGATCAAGGTGATTTTCCAGACCTTATGAAATATAGTAAAGTTATCCCTCTCTTCAAAAACGGCATAAGAGATGATCCCGGTAATTACAGACCTATATCAATATTACCGGTATTAAGTAAAATTTTCGAAAAAATTATTTTAGATCAATTATTATCGCATGTCAGTTTGAACAAACTGTTACATAATAATCAATTTGGCTTTACTAGGGGTAGATCAACAACGGATGCGGGTGTTGCACTTATAAGACATATAATGGAAGCCTGGGAGAAGTCGCAGAATGTTCTTGGGGTATTCTGTGACTTATCCAAGGCGTTTGACTGCGTTGAGCACCAGACGCTGATGTTAAAATTAAATCACTATGGAATCAAAGGCGCAGCCCAAAACTTGCTACTATCGTATCTCAGTTCCAGAGTTCAAACTGTAGAGGTAAATGGTGTTAAGTCATCTGGATCCTATGTGAAAATGGGCGTTCCCCAGAGATCGATTTTAGGTCCGTTTCTATTTTTATTGTACATAAACGATTTGCCATTTTTTGTGGAAAAATTGTGTGAGATCGTATTGTTTGCTGATGATACTTCTTTATTATTTAAGGTTGACCGATACAAGAATAACTTTGACGATGTAAATAATGCTCTCTCACAAGTGTTGCACTGGTTTAATGTAAATAACTTAAAATTAAATGCAAATAAAACCAAATGCATTAAATTCACTTTACCTAATGTTAGAAGCGAAACCATTAGAATTAAACTAAACAATGAAAACCTAGATTTAGTTGAGTCAACGATATTCTTAGGTATAACCATAGACTCGAAATTGCAATGGTATCCTCATATTTCTCTGCTAGCTGGTAAACTTAGTTCAGCAGCCTATGCCATACGTAAAATAAGACAACTTACTGATGTAGCTACTGCTAGAACTGTATACTTTAGTTACTTTCATAGTATTGTATCCTATGGTATTATTCTCTGGGGATCAGCAGCCGATATTGAAACTATATTTATCTTGCAAAAAAGAGCTATAAGGGCTATTTATCAACTTAGTTCTAGAACATCTCTTAGAGAAAAATTTAAAGAAATCGGGATTTTGACTGTTGCTTCTCAATTCATTTATAATTGCATACTTTTTAAATAAAACTAGTTTTTACGGGTTAATGCACGAAACTTTATTTATTTATTGACGTTTCGCAGCCTTTTCAGGTCTGCATCGTCAGAATAATGATTTTATTATAAATCATTATTCTGACGATGCAGACCTGAAAAGGCTGCGAAAACTAGTTTTTACGATTTATGATTTTATTATAAATCATTATTCTGACGATGCAGACCTGAAAAGGCTGCGAAACGTCAATAAATAAATAAAGTTTCGTGCATTAACCCGTAAAAACTAGTTTTATTTAATGAGTGATGTGCGTGAAAACCTAAGAAACAAATATGCATACTTTTTGTTCGAAGCAATATTAACTATTATCTAAAACACAGTGACATACATTCTTTTAATACAAGGAATAAAAATAAACTCAAGATACCAAATTACAGGTTACAGAAGGTTCATAAATCATTTATGGGTCAAGGCATACATTTCTATAATAAGATTCCTATTGATATCATTGATTTGCCTCCTCATAAATTTAAAATACAAATTAAGAATTGTTTACTTAAGAAAGGATATTATACTGTCAATCAATATTTGAATGATAAAACGGCCTGGTTGTAATTTTACTTGTAGATCATTTTTCAAAAGTTATATTAAAACTAAGGCTCCCAGCTATAGAAAGAGTTTTGAAGAGAACCTTGCACTTACTCCCTTTCATATACTTGTTCATTTTATTTTGAAAATTGTTTCTTGCTATTTTGGGACTTATCTTTGCACTTATTGTTAGTAAATTCATTGATTGTTACATATTTGACATTATGTGATGGAAGTTGACCTCAACACATGTTTGCAAGTTTGATGTCAACTTTCAATTGGACGACACTGTATGAAATAAAACAGGGAGAAAAAAGCAGCCCTTGCTGAGTTTCTTGCCGGTTCTTCTCAGTACAAGGTCTCCCGCCGTAGTTTTGCGAACCGATGGCGTAGCTTTCGACATTCACAAGTGCTTGTAACAGCCTAGACTGAATAAACGATATTGAATTTTGAATTTTGAATTTTGACCGGCACCGGCATATTTCTTGTAGTTTTCATACATTTTATATGGACTCGCCACACACGGTACGCCGGTGGCCGCCACACGCTACAAATCGTCGTTGCTCGCTTCTTGTGGCCCGCACCGGCCACTTAATGCGCCGATACAAAACGCCGCCACAAGTCACTCGCGCGATTCCCCACCCCTCTCTCCCTTACCTTAGTCGGCCGCTGTCGCGCGCTTCAGCCAATTTAGTAGCCGCTTCTAGCTTCTCGTGGCGACGTTTGTGGCTGTGGCGTGTGGCCCGTGTTAAAGATTTAACTTGCTTTTCGAATCACGGAGGAGATGTAGATAATACATTTTGGTCACTATAATCTTCAGTTGAAAATGGGTATTGCAATCTCGCAAAACGGGATCACGCGTTCCCGCGGGATCTGCAGGAACCCGCACCTTCAAAGCGCGAATCCGCGGATTGCCAAAATTATAATGTTTGCGCTAAAACTCTCGCGTAAATCGCGAGTAGCATGAGCGCGCGTATTTTAAAAGTTATCACCATAGTTTGATATCATAGTAATAGAATCTAAAAGAAAGTTGTGTTTGAACGTTTGAACTATTCGTTCCCTTACAAACGGTCTATGATCACCATTCTAACCTCTTTCTGTATTCTGTGTCTCAAATCATGAAGCTTAAAAATAGCCAAGTCGTGTCAAAGATGAATATTTGCTTTACAGCCTCAGCCACTGGCGTCGCTGGAGGAGGTGGAAGGCATCAGAGTGGTGGCTGCAGACGGATCTGGCGGGGCTGAAGTATGCGTGTTCCTGCAACGAGAGCGGGTGCTGGCGTTACTCATGGACGAACGGGATGCTGCGGAGATGCCGCTCGTCATAGCCGGGTCAGTGACCTTTCCACTCCAGAGTCGAACATTTTTTTTTTAGTAATTCATGACCGTGGATACCAGTAGCGGACTAACAGGGCCCCCAAATGCCTCAGCGTTCTCCTGATCAAATCCTTAACTAGACTTTAAAAATGTGCTTAGTGCCTACATAATTTCATCAAGATCAAAACACTACAACCATCTAGACTTTTTACGCGGTACTAATAATCTTTTAACTTTGCTGAGCGCGTCCAATACGCTGGGGGAATTCCCGTCTCTGTAGCGGGTACTCCCTCAGGTATCCCTTGAATGAATGAAGTACAAATAATTCACTCTTGTACGCCTACATTTAATAACATTCACTATATTAACGTGGAAAAATAAAAATTGGCCTCATTTAAAATCCGTTCATAGTAACCTCATTAAAAAGTGTAATAGTGTTTTTGATTTTTGTTGCGGTATAAAAGTTTTTTTAAAGCTGGGGGCCTCATTCAGCTTTGCCACCCCCGGCCTCTGACGAGCTTAGTCCGCCACTGGTGGATACAAGTCCTTCAGTCGTATACATAAATACAAATCTTAATCCTCTTGTTTACATTAGAATGTCGGTGTAACGCATTCTAATGTCTCTCGGAGTGTTTGGCACGAAATGTATCGAGTTGGTTTTTTCGATTAGCTTCTGTGAGGTAGTCAACACTACAATAAAGTTCTCACGTCCACTTGACCGGAATAGCATATATTTTAAAGATTCCACTAATTCTTCAGTTACGCAGACGGTTGTAACACAAAATCACACCAATTTTATTTCACAATATCCGCTATGAACGAATTTAAGAATAATTGAATTAAGACGCCAACCGCTCTCGATGAAATCCCGCCAAAAACTGCCAGAGTCGAACATATCACGCCAGGGTTACCAGTACAGAAAGACCAGAGGGGAGGATTTTACACCGGGCTGGGTGATGTTAGCCCGCATCTGTTAAATTACTGTCCTAATAATTGGTTTCTGAACGACCATCGATCTCTAGAAAGATGGCCGTCTTGTCACGCATGACAGTTTCGGGTTGACGTTTAATAGAAGGCGCACGCATGGCTACGTGCTCGGTGGATGTTATTTTTAAATCAAGTATCATCTTTGTGATTACTGACTATTTTGTGCAGCAGCAATGGGTTAAAAACCACCAAGAAGTCACACACAAAACATAGTGCTGTATATTTCGTTGAATTAAAATCTCCACATCTGCCAATCCAAGCCATTGAAAAACTTGAACAACCCATCTGATAGCGGCCATGTTCGTTCCTACATACACATTGATGAGTTGGCGTCCGAATTTCTCTAGCGCGATGTAACTTTCCATACGCCAGTAGCGCCATCTTTTATCAAGGCGATGATTTCATCTTTCATTAATTATTAATTCTATGTGGGCACTCATGGACGAACGAGATACTGCGGAGATGCCGCTCGTCATAGCCAAGTCAGTGACTTCACTACTCAAGAGTCATGGCGCTATTGTCCGTGTGTTGTGTGCTGGTGCTGCTACTAATGCACACTATACCAAGATTATCGCTGGCATAACCCCCACTTAAATACCAATCAAGATCAGCTGAGCTGAGCAAAAAAAAAATCTTAAATATGAATAATTTAAAACGCCAAACGCCTCTTCAATTACTCCGAGACGTGTCGTCACTAAGCGCGTTCTATCGTCTGTACCACGGCGAGTGTTCTGAGGAGTTATTCTCTCTTATTCCACCTTCCCCTTTCCTTCAGAGGACCACGCGCGCTGGCCTACGTTGTCGCCATCTAAATATGGCCACAATTCCAACGCGTACAAAGAAATTTGGTGACCCATTTCTTTGTCGCACTATCCGTAAATGGAATGCTCTGACCGCTCACGTGTTCCCTCCTTCTTACAACCTGGGATCCTTTAAAAGAGGCGTGAAGAAGCAACATGCAGGCCGGAAAGGTCAGGATGGCTGGTGTGGCATGTAGAACTGCTGTACCTTCACGTCTTAACTTCACCATCACTTAACATCAAGTGGAGCGGAGTCATTTGTCGGACCTTAAGTTAAATACCAAGAATAAAAACGTGTATATAATATATATGTATCATTATAAGCTTATTTATGTTCCCACTGCTGGTACACACGCTTTTACAATGAATGAATTAGAGAGATTGAACCATGACCCTCCACGCGAGTACAGTGCGGATTGGTGGGTGCTAACGACTGCAAATGCAGCCGGAACCAACGGCTGAACGTGCCTTCCGAAGCACGGAGGAGCTAAAGATAATAAAACTTTAGTCACCCATCCGATGAACAGCCATTGAAAAAGTTACTTAACTTCAACGATGGCAGACCGAACCCGCTAACTTGTGGCATCATGCTCTTATAGCTTTGAGGTATCAATTAAGCTAAACATTTTTCAAAATGATCATTTTTTTCTTGCAGCTACTATCGTTTGGCTACCGGTAAAGAGCTGAGTGTGGAGCTGGAAAGAGAGCCCATTACCGAAGATATAGGTAAATATTGAAATAAGTAATGTGTTGTTTAATATTGTGGTACCTTCATTTTCGATTTTTTATCTTTATTAACTCTCAGATGATCAAAAGACTTATTTTATTCCAGCTCCACCGTATCTGTCTCAGCATAACGTGGTGCCAGCGAAATGGAGCTATTTACATTCCGACGATCCCCAAATTCTTTCTAAAAAGCACTTCGCCATCTTCAGTATGCCGCCGCCCTACCATTCCACAGCGGACAAATCCGACGTAGACACAAACATGAACACAACAATCGCCAACAGGAACGGTAGCGCCAACTCCAGCCCAATCATTGGCTACGACTCGAAATCAGGCTTACTAGGTCACGATATCCATTTCGACAAATGTAAGCGAACTGACGAGTTCAGATTGTTCGACGCCAATGATTCCTGCTACTTGGATGACGGCATGGGTTTCGACCTTCAAAGCGTTCTATCCATGGAACTCTTAGAGAATGCAACCAATAACCCGAGACTAGTTGAGGCTAAAAACGAGGAAGTACTGAGGAGAGTTGCGGAAATGCAGAAACTTGTAGAGAATTCCGAACAATATTTGACTGAAAATTGTGATGTTTACAATGACGATATCTATAACGATGGAGTTTTAAGGGACGAACTAGTTGGTAAAGAAACGTGTGTAGATAATGTAGAAAGTGATACGGAATCTAATAATAGTAGAATGTCGGCCGCCGACGAGGCACCTGGTATTCTAAAGCACAGTGACTCTTTGTTACTGTTAACTGAAACTATTAATCAAGGGTTAAGCGTGTTGACTGTACCGGAAACTGTAAAGGACAATAACAGTATGAGTTTAACCAATCGGCAATCACAAGGTCTCAGTGCTATTTTAAATAATTGTGGTCTAACTGACGCTTTATTAGCTTTAAACAGTGATCTCGGTCATTCCGAAAGTGATAATGACTCCCTTTATACACCAACTAATAGTCCTATCCGTAAATATCAGAATAAGACTACCAATAATAAAATTGTAAGAACTAGTTTTGGCTTGCATAGCCCAGATGCGTTACAAGACAATAAGGAACCAAATCTAAAGGAATATTTAAAGCAGCTAAAAGAAAAAAGTAGTCAGGAAGAGGCGAGAGCAGCAGAAGTTCCTTTTTTTTATCAAGAAACTATTGTGGATACTGACGCTGAACTCATAGACTTAACACTCATACCACCTCCTCAAACTCCCGATGAACTAGATTGTGCTACACAAGTGCCTCAAATTTTGCCTGTTGTACCACCCTCTTTTGCTGATGAGAAAGAAAATGTACAAATTGGTAAAACGAACACACCGAAATCTAATGAACTGGAGGAATTTATAGCTAACGTTACAATACAACCGCCAACCGTAAAAGTCACACCTGCCATAGAATTGACTCCAGAGGAAATATTGTCTTATATCATTCCCCCACCGCCTGGATCGAATTCATCAACATTAGATAGAGACCACGTTAGTTATGTGAATCAAGCACAGTTGCTCGAAGCGAAAAATGCTCAAAACTCAAATTGCGATGTTAAACAAAGTAATGGAGAAGTAGTGAAAGGCACACTGAGTGTTAGTGAGATTAGAAATATGTTCACTGCGAAGAGTTTAAGTGATGCTAGGAATAGTCTCTTACTGAAAGATAAAAGCAAAACGCAGTCTCAAAATAAATCTGAATCTCCAAAGGGCAAACGAAAAAGCATATCAGGGGATAAACAATCTAATGGCACTGCACATGTCATAGAATATCCTACTGTCGAAAGGAAAGGAATGTTCTCCTGTTGCAGTAAAGATAAGAATAAAAGCGACGATAGTTGTGATGAATCTGAGAAAACTGAAGTACATAAAGAAAATTCTGACTCGATGCCCGACGTATGCGAAATAAGGCCACCACCTCGAAGAAAAAGTTCGGAAATACGAAAACCTCCAGAAAGGCCCCCGAAAACGCCTCCCATACCGGCACCTAGGCCACGGTCTAACTCATTCACTTGTATGAATAACGAATTGACCGTAGTGGAAATACCTAATAGCCAATTCAACACTTTGAACAACAGGAAACTAAATTACAAAGTAGTTTGTGATATTAACGAGCAGGTATCGGGAAGTCCTCCGCAACTGCCGCCAAGAATAGAAAACAAAGTTTTAGCTCCCCCACCGCCTTTATTGCTGCCTCCAAAGAAGCCTCCTCTACCTCCAGTACCAAGCGTGGAGGTTCTACGGCTGAAAAATGCACAGAAACAGTCCCCATTGAGAAACCCGGAGCAGCGATTAGCCAGCATTGGCTCCCCTCATTTCCAAAGGAACTTAAACACCTATCGAAACCTTGAAAACGAGCACAGAATAACAGACGATGAGTCTACAAACATCAGATCTTCTCAGAACTACAGTTCCATGACTTTGCAAAGCCGTCACGTGCGATCGCATTCGGAGACCAAAAGCACAATTTTAAAGAACAAGGAAATGGCAGCTTTATCTTTATGTTCTCCGCAAATGAACAGGAGATTCAGCAACCGTCCTGATATATTGAACGGTGCTCCGACTAACGAGAAAGTGTTTAGTCCTCCGCTGTCTGAGAGAAAGGCTTTTCGCGTGGACAGTTCTAGTCCGACGCCTAAAGTGCAGAATCACGTTCGATTTAAAGACGATGTTGTGGACGATATTCCTACTCCGCCGTCGCCGCCGAGTGTTAAGTTCCCAGAGCTTCAGGCGGGGAACAATGGACACGTGTCGGTGGAAAGTCTTCTATGTAAGACGGAGGTTGCAGTAGACGGATTATTGCAGCGATTGCACGGTGCTGCGCAGAAGTGCTCCCATCAGCATGCTCATGGAGGCGGCGAGGATATCGACGAGATCAAGTTCCAGGTAAACACACTTTAACCAGGTTAACTCCCTTATTAATAAACGAGGAATAAGTTTGGATTAGTTACTTTATGCTTTGCGTCTTGGCATTTGAGTAACATAAGATGGGACAATATAGGTGGTTATGAGTAGTCATGCTCTCTTAAAAGTCTCTTCGGTGGTGTCGTGTGAGGCGGGTCGTTACGTTCCCTAAAATATGGTTGAGCGAAGCGATGGCTGGTTCATGCGTCATGCTCGTGAACGGGTGCTGCCAGCGGAGATGAGTCTGCCCTAACTACTTTGATATTTAAGATGTAAATGTTTAATTACACCTATTATAAATAACTCTGTTTGTATTTAAACTGTGTGACACAGCAATCAAAATGCAGCTGAACAATTAATGTATAATTTCACATTATGTAATAAAAGGTGACTTCATGAATCATCTCTGAAGTCATTTTTCAACTTGACGACTCTGTAAATGATAAAACAGGGAGAAAAAAACAGCCTTTGCTGAGTTTCTTGCCGGTTCTTCTCAGTACAAGGTCTCCCGCCGTAGATTTACGAACCGATGGCGTAGCTTCTAGACATTCATATGTGCTTGTAACAGCTGAATAAATGATTTTGATTATTGATTGATAAACAAAACACGGCGTAACTAGTCTAAGCTTAATCTTTGTTTATTGATAGGTGAGTAAATTTATTATATAGTGTTAGATTACATATTAGTGATGATTAGTCTTATACCTATGTTATATCTTTCCCAATGGAGCAATGGACTGGGACTAACTTCACAATGCTATGCTAACGATTGCTACTGCGGCCGAGTTGTTAACTAAAAAAGTATGCACGGAGAAACGCGACACACTGAATTTGATCTTATGAGGAAACATCTTCCACCTAAAACTTAAAGAAATGGAATGACATCACTCCAGAAATAGAACAGACACTGTTGACATGGTGTTGTTGGGGTTGTTGAGCTTTTGTACTTTACTTTATATTCGTTATACTACCTTTAATTACACATTTGGGGAAGGAATTGTCTTACGTTACATTAACACTGGTGTCGACTCTTGCATGATTCCCTAAACTTAAACTTAAAGGACAGTGCCCAAAATAGGCTTGGCGTGGACAAGGTGCTTGGCAAACAACAATTTTACTTATTCATTCATAGTTCAATGTCACCATCTATCGGTCAATAAAATAAAAATATATGAAAATGCGTATTATGTAGGTAATAACTTTTTAAATTAACCTTTGTGGTAAAACAAAAGTCGGGAGCCTGGTATCCCGTGCGTTTATAATCCGACTATTTAAACATGTCACGCAGTATGAATGCGTATCTATCGGATTTATATGTCTCACACTTTGGTCGGTTTATACCAATTATTTGGTTCTGAATTTTTCTTAATTAGACTTTGGATCTAATAAAAATCTACATAATAATAATAGCAAATAGATTTTAGTGTTATGATCTTTTGATTTACTAACTAGATGTCATCAAAATTTCAACTTACCGATGAAAGGTTATGTTTGGCTGATTTCGTTCACTGCGGCTTTTACAGCCAATTATACTGCAATTCACCATAACGGTACCCTTTAACTACACTTCTGGATATCATCATCAAACTGTTATTGTTTTAAAGCTTAAAGGACAATGGCGAACTCCCATACAATTTTTTGTTGAATTTTTTTCTTGCGTCTATAAATGAATTGCATGTTAAATTATAGAGTTTACATTCTTGATTTGATTCATCTTATTTCTTATATTATAGGAAGTCTGGATTTATAGATATTCTACTTTGAAGTTTTGGAGGTTATGTCCTACCAAGTAATGAAAAAACAAATTATAAAAGTATTTTCAAGAGTATTTTTATATCAAAATAAAAAATACGTGGAACGGAACTATAGAAGTATACCGGTCCTGAAGATTAGTGACGAAAAAAAAATGTTTTTTACAATGTATGATCAGTTGGTTTTCTTTCTTTCTTTCTTTGGCGTAGGTACTGACCAACCGCGTCAAAATACTTATTATCAGACAAGAGTTATTGAGTTCAAATACAATGTCTGTGCTGTAAGAAGTACTTAACAATTTGAAAATGCCCACTGCAATAATAAAGTATAAAAAAGGATTTCTAATAATGTACTAATGGGATATTAATTAAATATGCAACACTTTTTATATATATTTTATTCCACATCGTTGATCACAATATCGTAGATAGTAGATACAATGAAATAAAATCCACAGTATGGGACAGAATCGTGGCCAAAATCCACAGCAAAATATCAGATTCGGAAGTCTTAGGCAAGCACTACTCAACAGTCGCAGAGAAAGATTTCGAAAGTCCAAATACAGTCCAAGTCACATAAAAAAACAAATATCAGAAAAACACAATACGCCGATTGAAATCTTTGCAATATGCATGCACCTAAGCACAAACAATGTTATATAATGATAACAATAACAACAACAATTCGATGACAAGCATGACAGTGTAGTTATAGTTTTTTTTCGTTATTTGTCGCCATACACTTTTTGTATTGTGGAGATTATATAATATGGTTTCAGTATAAAATTGAAAAATAATGCATGCAAAACATACGAACAACATATTTAAAGTTGATTTCATCACTAAAATCACTTAAAATGAATGGCTCAAAAGCCATCATGGCCAAGCCACAATAAAAATAAAAAACAAATAGTCAATTGTGTTTCCCTTTTTTAAGTTTTTAATTCCAGACTTAGACAACCCTCCTCAATTGTTTAATAAATCTTTTGAGATTATTTTATTAACATTTCTGATAATGACATCTATAGACGCTATAGATTTACTTCAACAAATATTTCGCCATTGTCCTTTGTATAAATCCTCTTGACACGCAAAGTTTGTCTGCCATCGACTATCGAAGGCACCGATGGCAAACAAAAAAAAACTTTACGCGAATAGAGACAAAAAACTTAAGTCTCGCCCTGCTCACACATTCATGATTTTGCATTCGCGCATTCTCACTCTTGTAATTATTATTATTTTAACAGCTTGTCTGTTTATTCTCTGTCTACGATATTTGCCGACATGGTCTGCGTTCTAAACCTATGCTCCAGCTAGAACAAATGTCAAGTTCGATAGAAGTTTCATACATTTATGTCAAGATTGAAACGTCCGAGTGAAAAGTTGCACTTAGAGCGTAAGTTTGGAATCCACCTAAGTAGAGATGGAAAAAACGGCTTATTTCTTAAAGGCGTTTAAACGTTGTAGTTTTTAAAATAAGCGCGCTTGAAAAAAAGCTTTTTCGTTTAAACGCTTATTGGCTTAAACGTTTAAAAGCATGCGTAAAAAGCGCGACGTTGTGTTGTGTTTTCGTTTAGGTATATCGTTTAAAAAAGATTGAAAAGTTTATTGTCGTTTTTTACGTGTTTAAGTGTTTTATTGCGTTTTTTCTTCTTATTAATGAAATTTTTATTAAATGTTTTTTTAAACCTAATGAATTGATTGGCATTAAAAACGAAAGATTTTCAATTGAATTTAGATTTTATAATAAACATTTTTATAATAGTCAATGAACTTTCCTTCGTACTTTACAAGCTTAGGACTGTCTGGAGTTAATATACTCGTGATCCAGGCGTACTTAAAAGTTCATTGATTTTATATACATACTTTTAACTATTTTATATGCACATTAAATCAATACACGAAACGCATTAACACAAGCAAGCATGCAAACACACCGTACAACACCCACGCGCTCTTACCCCGTCATAGTGATAAGCGTACTGCTTTTCGACTTCGTTAAACGCTTTTAACGAAAAAAGCGTTGGTTATCCGACCAAATTTTAAAAATGTGCAATTTTTACGTCGCATTATAATAATTCGCATGCTGTAACCGGCTCACGAAAGATGGCACGCCGACGAGGCGCTGTAGTCGCGCGTTCTATGTCTGTGATATTGTGAAATATTTAGTTCCAAGGAACTCCGCGTACCCATTTTTCGATACTGTAGTGGACTAGAAGGATCGAACTATGTAGTTTCCTGGCAAAGACATAGATGGCGGGATTTGCACTTTTTAATTAAAAAATATACTTGCACTTTTTTAAGTGAAAAGCTTACTCACACTTTTTAAGTGAAAAGCTTATAACGCTTATACTTAAAAGCGTGCTTACAAGCTTAATATTTTAAGCGCGCTTATTTAAGCGCTTTTCGTTTAAACGCCCACCGCTACACCTAAGCTGTCAAAAGAACACTACTCGCACGCCATATTGGGCAAAAATATTTTTCGAGGCATTTATACTTCTTTAGGCGCGTTATGAAAAAATTATGAGAGTGAAATTTTAAGATGCGCGCGCATCACTGTAACACAAAATTTTACTTCATGCTGTTACTTTTGTGTTTACCGCACATTAAGAAAATCTACCAACTAAATAGAAATAGAATCTCTATTTAGTGGGTGCTAACGACTGCATTGTGAAGGCCTATCAAAAGTATTTATTAATCTGGAACAACGGAACCAAAGCGCGATTCAGGAGACTACAGCGCCATCTCTTGACCATTGGTGTAGTAGAACCAAAAACCACATCTTTATTTTTTGTAATAAAGTAACAGTTATAGGTATTCATATTTATAATATCAAAAGTATTTATTAATCTGGAACAACGGAACCAAAGCGCGATTCAGGAGACTACAGCGCCATCTCTTGACCATTGGTGTAGTAGAACCAAAAACCACATCTTTATTTTTTGTAATAAAGTAACAGTTATAGGTATTCATATTTATAATATTTATCCACATGTTTCTAGTTTGTATATTCGGAATACGTGTTTGAGTTTCATACAAGTGCAAATCACATGTGTTCTAATAAATTATATTCAGTAGCGATTTTAATTGAATATTTTGATTATTTATTAATTTTTTCAAATTAAAACTGAACTTTATTGACTGTGTCCTTTTCCAGACTTTTTATTAATTTATTGTAATTAATTATTTGCATGCAATTAAAAACTAATTGTAGACGATGCCAAAGAAGGATAACTTCTCACGCGCCTACATAAGTACACGCACCCATTTTTTTTTATTATCGAATTTATTGAATTGTGTAACAGATAATGTATCTACGCAGTGTCTTAGCAACGCATTGGTAATATATGCCTTCGAATATTATAGATCGTTTCGAAAATGACTTTAATGTGCTTATATTACCATTTTTTTTAAAGTATACTGATGCAAAATTTTAATGATTCAAAGGTTTCGGGTAGTTCAAGATTCTTGCATTGTATAGTTTTACTTGTTAAAATATCTGTTCATATTAAGCCAAAATCCCATACAAAGTGGGCATTGCCCTTTGACAACAGAATCCTTGTCTCTATACAGAATGAAAAGGATATTAAATTTAGAGAATCATGCCAGAATCGACACAACTGGCTTTAGCTTTTCATCGCGCAAGGAATTCAGTCAATCATACTATGTAAAGATCTTAAAAGATAAGAAATCTTCACAAGGTTTGCCTCTCAAAGTTTGATTGAAACATTTTTGTAATAAATCTTAAGTCCCCAGGGGGAATACGATGAAAACCTAAAACCTATTTCGCGATGCAAATGAGACTGATGTGTACCTATGTGTTTGACAGCGCGCCCGCAGTGAGTTGACATCGTGTGCAGTTTCTCTAGTGGGAACATCGCGGTCTTTAGTAGGAGCGTTGGGGGCAGCGGGGTCCGGCGCGGGGGCGGGGGCGGGGGCGGCGCTAGCGGACTGTCTAGCTCCGTTGAGAAGACTGACAGACTTGGCGCAGGTAACAACAATTCTAAGACTAATGGCAAATAAATAAATTAAAAATAATGTGGCTCCGCGAGCTATAATGCGATTCAAATAAGAATAGGAAAGCCAATGACCTCCATCTGTCAAATGACGCTTGAAAAGTACGGTGTGCAAAATTCTTGGAACTCTTTTTTTAGCACTTCTAGAATAAAAAAACCAAATATTTGTAAACAAACATGGCGACGAAGACAACTCCGGTAGTTATGTAGAGCTGAGCGGAATTGAAGAGCTAGATTCCGATTAATATTTTTACTCACACAGTCTTAATAAATAAATGTTATAAAAAATCGGTTGTTTGTTTTTTCTCAATCTTTCTCAAATAAATTTTATTAATAAAATCTGATATTTTTTCTCACTTAATCTTAGTAAATAAATTTTATCGAAGAAAAACTTGTTTTGCTCACTCTACCTATTTTGTTTCAACTGACAGCTATGACATCACAAAATGGCGCCCAGTCGATCCTATTCTTAGTTGAATCATTATACATACCTACGCGATGAAGTCCGCCACTGAACGACTCACAGATCTCGCCCACCACCCAACCTCTCTCACCTTATAAGTTCTATGTAACCACCATTCATAGAGTAAGTGCTAGATTGTGTGTAGTGTCTCTAGTAGGCACATCGCTCGCTTTTGTAGGTGCGTAGCTCCGTTGACAGACTTGGCACAGGTAACTTTGGCCATGTTTCATTAAGTGAGTTGATGGCGTCTTTTGTCTAGCTCCACTGCGACGACAAACAGATCTCGCGCAGGTAAATACCATTTAATAGACATAGTTAATGGTCTAAGCGACCGCTGTCTAACTGCAAAATAATACGAGCTGGGGCAGGCACAGGGAAAGCGCTGGCGGACTGACTAGCTCCGTTGAAAAGACCGACAGGCTTGGCGCAGGTAACTACCACTAGATAACTAGATAAGTATTGCATACGGCTAGTTAATAAGCGAGTTGGAATCTTCTGTCTAGCCCGGCTGTGACGGCTTACAGACCTCACGCAGGTAATTACCATGTGAAGACTAACAGCCAGTTTCAATTACTGAGTTGGCATCGTGCGCTGTGTCTCTAGAAGTCATGTCGCGGGGTTTAGTAAGCGCGTTAGGAGCAGTGGATGCGGGCGCGGGGGGCAAAAACTTGATTTTTCTACCGCCCACTTGGAAATCAATTCTTGTGTATGGAGCTAAAGTTACTGAAGTTATATTTAAAAATCATTCATTATTATCTCATTTAAAAATTAGATGGAATAAGAATGACAAGCCATAAACCACCCCGAGGACCCAGTGTGGATTGGTGGATGGTTAGCATCCTGCAAATTCTGGGCTAACGGCATAACGTACCTTCCGAGACACGAAGAAATTCCATTTAAACTTGAGATCACCCATCCTGAGACCAGCAACTGCAAGAGTTGCCCCCATGCTGTTGTAAATACCAGTGTATTTAGCTGCTGTGCCAAAAATTAGAATCTGTAAATATTTTTAATGGTTTATTAAATTGGATATTTTTCATTTCAGGCTCTCGTCAGACACACATCGGCACCCCTGCAAACCAGAAATCTGGTTTTACGCGTACACGACGTCACCGCAGCCTTCAAAGAGCTAGCTGGTGCCGAAATGGCACAGATTATACATGAGCACAACTCCAAGAAGGCCCAGGACCAAGGCCAAGAAAACTCCACGCTGGAAGGACAACTCGCTTTAAGAGCGGAATGCTTAGCCAACGTACTGGCAACATTGCTCAGAAGCCTTCGCGTTTTTTCACCATAAAAAATCAATGACCTTAGCTAAAATTGCTCTTTTGCAGGCTACATTTATAAGCTATGGGCTTTATTGTTGCCTGAACGAACAATATAAATAATAAAAACACATTTTCACCCAACAAAACGAGCTATGCAACCGCAAAGTAGTGTAAAAAATATAAATTACATATTAATATAATAAATGAACTTTTCATGATTATTATTATTAAGAAATTTTGTTGAAAATTTGTAACCGTTACTAAAATGAGACCAAATAAAATTAGGTATGTTTGTATAATTGTATTGTAGTTGGCAACACTTTGTGTTACGATATAATTTAAGTTATAGTTGTGTAAATTTTAACATGCGTTAATGTTTAAATCTGTTGTTAGGTGACTATTCTTTTGTCGTGACCTTATTTAGTAGTTTAGAGTTTCTCGAAGCCGTACCATAGACGCGCGCGTTTGAAGTTTCCGTCAATAATCATAATTGTCTACGAATTGGAACTTATCTATTAGTGGACGTTTCGTTTACGATTCCGTAATGTTACCATAGATGTTAATTTGACATACATATCTATTTACCTATTGTACATTTTCTATTCTAAGAAGAGTGATCGGTTAAAGGGTGCAACTTAACTATGAAAGTATGAACTTAAATCATATCTAAATGTCTAACTAACCATATCTTTAGTAGTTTCGTCGTTTTTCATTTCTTTTTTAGTCTGTGACATTGTTGTATTTGTTGCGCGCTGTAAAATGTTCGGTGTTGCTAGTTGTGAAATGTTTTTTCTTCTGAGGCAAGGGGTATACCTCACAGTATTACAAAAAAGTTTTTTTTTTTTTACTTATTGGAAAACAATATTTACACTAAAATTTTACTAAAATAAATGTTAACTATTTTCGGTTCGTTACTTTACATACCTAGTTTAATATATTTTTTATGGTCATTATAAAAATACGATATCGTGTTTTCAAATTTATGGATTATGTTCTTGATATCATATTTCATTTAGTAGGTAATGATATTATTTATGCCAATAACTTTAAACTTTTGAACGCCAAAACCAAACTTTGTGGGAGAATTATTCTACAATATTTCCTTATTTACTTACTTATTAAATTACTTATTAAACAATATTTACCTGGAAAATTTTACATGATTACAGCAAAAGAGAGTGTGAAACATTGCAATTTTAATGGTGGATTAGCTTCGAGAGCCTTCTTTCCATTATGAAGACGAATGAAGGAAAAAATATAAAGGAAATTAGCATTTGTTTTTCACTATGAAAATTTAGCTGATTAAGTACTTTTTTCAAGAGAAACACTTCTTTTAAGTTAACGGACAAGTCCATGATAGGTACCTATGCTTTGCTTAAAGCGATTAGCGGGCATTAGATCTCTATAAGCAAACGACACTTGCCTAACATTACTATAAAAAAAAAAGATTTTTTTGAGTTATTGGCATTGAATACTAAGATATTATGCCTAAAACATCTTTTTATATGGGCACAGACTACAAATATGATTGCGTTTTTTGATAGACAAATGGCGTGGCGTTCAAAATGGAATGTTGATGGTAGACCGTGGCTCAGAATTAATGATATTAAACAGCAATCGAAGCAAGTACCAAGGGCGGATCCAGGGGGGGGGGGGGGGGGGTCATGGGAGTCATGACCCCCCCCTGGGCTGGGTACAGATAGACCAAACCCAGGGCGATTTTATTTAAGTACTATCAATATTTAATATACCACGACTATATGACCCCCCCTGGCGCCAAAGCTGGCTATATGACCCCCCCTGGCGCCAAAGCTGGATCCGCCTTTGGCAAGTACACACATGTATAGCGTTGTGCTGATATTGTAATATTGGTGCTATTTTTGAGGAAATTGTGTACGTTTTTTGTAAGAATCGATTGGTCAGGCAATACAATAATTTGCAATAATATTGAACCGCGTATTCATTAATCTTTTTTGCACCAGTGATTTGAATAATTATATACATGTTAAGTATGTGACCAATAAATTGGTTTTACAACGCAACAATCACGATATTATATTTCGCTTTTAATAAACACACCACCTGATGAGTACCTACATAATATTATTACTTATATTTATATTGTTTGCTCAGTTCCAAAGCTATGGGAACCAAAGACAAGATTTCTCAACTTTCCAATATAAAATGTTATTTAATTTATTTTACAGATACCAGTATACAAAATATATATTTATGTTACGAGTTCTTATTATAGAAAAGTTTATGTAGTACCTACTTACTGAAAAACTAAGAGACTTTATAAGTATTTTTTTATCTGTAGCACTAGAAGTACAATTTTTATCATTTTATTGTTTGTTCGATACCAATGCCTGTTCTTGGATAGGAAAAATGAACATTTTTTCAAAATAATTTTAATATTTTCCTTCTTTCTATATAAATAATATCCTAGATATGTATCATACGACAGTCATTGTAATATAATATCAAAAATAGTTGAAACGTTATTATATACAAGGTATCACAATATCGTATCACACCAATTTATTTATTGTTCAAAATAACATAATGCAATGCATTTGATGTAATAAATGATAATATGAACCGAATGGTTTTGGTTTTTTGTTTCAAACCCTAACAATCTGCGCCGTATTTTTAATAATAACTGCTGTGGTGTAATGTGGAAGTTGCAAGCGTGGTAGAGTCTGCTCGTTAGGTGAGACTAGGTACACGCTTAGTAAGTAATGTTTGTGAATATTTAATTCAACCAGTAGGCCGGTCATTAAAACCTTATACCCGGAAATAATTAGTAACTTGCTGAAATTTTGAGGGTTTTCGAAAGCAAACACGCTGCAAATTTAGAATAAGGTTGTTTTTACCGTTTTGTAACGTGTATTAAAGGACATTGCTCGTTCCCCATACATTGAATGCCCTAGAACGCCCAGCAATAAGAAAATGCTAGTTGTGTTCGGAATCATTCATAAACTCTAATTAGGCATTTGTTGAGATACGGACAACTTGAGGAACAGTGGCCTACTACATAATGTATTTGATTTTGAGGTTATAATTATTATACTTAATCGTAAAAGATGTACACTTTATATATTCTGAATAGATTTAGTGTTTACCTCTATGTAAGCACTTAAATAATATGCATTAAATTAACATAAAATGCAATTAATAATAAAAATAATAAAGGCTTATATTCATATTGATTAATGAGTGTTGTCAGTTGGCACCTACGATACCTATACCTTATCTGTAGTAATAATAGATTTCTTTTCAAATGAAATGTTCAGTCTTTCCATTTACCTGTTTCTATATTTTACTATCGGTAATTAGGTATGTAACTGGTTATCATTATGATTTTAATAAAAATAAACAGATATTACATGGGGTGGGAGTATAAAATATCTTTACATAATTTCAGAAATAATCTTTTTATAAATATAATACTAGTAATAAGTATTATTAACTAAGTTACCTCTATTTTTCTTTTGATAAATACCTATGGTCGCCTCTAATGCATTTATTAAGGTAAACAATCTTGGCACAACTTTTTAACAGAATCACCCATTTAATAATAAAATATAAACGAAGCCAATAAACTATTAAAATAAATCGTTATTATAGACTGAAACCTTTTGAATCCAGTTATCAGTTGATTTTTAATGCTGTTTTTTCAATAAAACATTTATCGACGTTCATGAAGGAAGATTTTTGGCCGAAAGGTGTTATGTTCCGGCGGTTCCGAAGCCGGCTACCTGACACCACTCCGCGTCACACGTCGCCGTCTATACGTGTTAATTAGGTTTCTACTAACATAGTTATGATTATTTTTTATTTACTAACATTTAATGTATTACCTATATCTGTCTTTGTGTTAGACTGGGCCTACGTTGCCTGATTATAAATAAATAAATAACAAGGAAACAATAGATTATTCAAACTCGGTAGGTACATATTAAAAAGAAAAATGTGTGCGTGTACTAGTGTACACACGTAAGAAGTGAAACTTCTTTATGGCCTTATTTTTCGAAAAATGATCTACATGTAACTTTCCAGAAATTGGTTAAATAAAGTTAAATTAGATAAAGTTTAAACAAAAGGATTTTATTATCATAGACATGAATACAAATTACTGCCTATGAAATTATTATGATTACACGGCTCAGTAATCTAAGGCCCGTGTTCCACCTCCGACGATGAACGATAAGCGAGTAGAAACTAGAAACGAATTGGCAGTCCTGAGTTAAAATGCACGCGCACGGCTTTTGACAGCCAAGCCAGCTTAACCGAGCGAGTATAGCTGAGCGAGTATCGCTGAGCTAGTATCGCTGAGCGAGTACCGCTGAGCGAGTATCGCTGAGCGAGTATCGCTGAGCGAGTATCGCTGAGCGAGTATCGCTGAGCGAGTATCGCTGAGCGAGTATCGCTATGCGAGTTTGGCTGAGCGAGTCTTATCTTTAATAACTATTGTCACTCAGCTACAAACGAGTAGAGAGAGTTCTCGCCGGCGACAGTGTGATCATTCAGCTATCAACTATTAATATAAAAAAAGATGGCGCGTAACGGAAAAATGTGACGCGTAACCGAAAAATGTGACCGTAAATTTTTTTCCAACGCCGATAAAGAAGTTTCACTTCAAAAAATAAATATGCCGCGCACTTAGCTCACAGCACGGGCCATCCTGTACGCATCTGCGGGATCACTCGCTATACCCCGGGTGATCCCTGCCGTGGATCCCCGGCTAAGCGGGGAGGCTGTTGAGTGCGGGGAGGCTGTGAAGTCCTTCAATGGGGATCTCGCGGTTCCGCACTTAACGGCGTAGAGAATATTTGCAGGGTTTTTTGGCGGATAGTATGCCGTAAACCGCGCGGACTGCTTAACGGCTTCTCCGTTTCGCACCCATTCGTTGGCGCCAACGTCTGTAAATAAAAGTTCTATCTGCGTCGAAAAAATTGGTATTAACTAACATAGTTACTAATTTTATTTACTAACAACAATATTTTATGATATAATATCTATACTTATAATAACTCTGTAGAGATCTCAATTCTGTACATGAAATATATTTTTAAAATAACTATCAGGGGGTGATTAGTGATCGATACTGATGCCAAAAATGCAATCAGTAAAATTTTTGTCTGTCTGTCTGTCTGTATGTTCCTTATAGAAACAAAAACTACTCGACGGATTTTAACGAAACTTGGTACAATTATTCTCCATACTCCTGGGCAGGTTATAGTATACTTTTCATCACGCTACAATCAATAGCACCAGAGTAGTGAAGGGAAATGTTGGGAAAACGGGAGAAGTTACTCTAAAAAATGGTCTTCCGTCGCGCGTGTAGCCTTAATGGTTAAAGTTACATAGAAATCATGTATGACGGAAATATTCTACATAAAATTGTCTAAAAAATATCCCGCAACAGTATATGTCTATCTTTTATTGTTGACTCACAATAACACGTGTAATTATATAAATAAAGTCATTCTTTATAGCACAAGCCTGAGAACAAAAACTATAGTTTACACTACAGCTCTACACCGAAGCGAAGCGAGTGCGGGCCACTAGTTTATAATATAATAACAATAATTATAAAAAATACGAGCGTGGGATTTGAACCGACTGCCGCGGTGATGCGTCGAACGTTGGTCCCGTGACAAAAATTTAACCCACTACGCCGTTTAGATTGATACTAGTATGGCGAAAATTGTGCTCTATTGGTGTATGCACTCTTGTAAGGTTTTTCCGTTACGGAATTTCTTGATTCGGTCGCGGCGCTCAATGCCCGCGATAAAAGCTATACAATAGCTTAAAAATATCTCAGAAGTAATATGTACATTACATAGTTGAGATAATGTCGAATTTGCTTTATTACGTTGCTGTAATGAATACTTTGTCGCTGTTGCTTGGGATACTGATCACTATCTCTTGCCGTGAAACCCTAGAACCTGACAAACCAACAGAAACACAATAACAACTAATAGTAGTGCTATTTTACAATGGACTTCTACAACGGCTGAGGCTAATTGGCATGGCAACTCCCCAGACAAGTACTACAAATTGACACAAAATGCCATTATAACATGATTAGTATTTTGAATTTCGAAATCACTTTCAAGATCATAAATATAACCTTTCTATTTCTTGACATTTTATATAATATTCAATCAAGGAAATCTTTCGTCCATGGGCAATACTCCAAATAATTTAATGTCAAAATCAGGGCTTGAAACCGGTTTCGAAAATACCGGTAAATAAAGGTTAATACCGGTTTTTAGCAAAGGTTTCGTTCGGAGCGCGTCCGAAATGAAAGCGGTGCCTAAAACCTTAACAAACCGGTTTAATCCAGAGCGACACGTGCACGCGTCAGCATCGCTTGAGTTTGTTTTGTATGAACTAATCTAGTCACAACTTGTTAATGCTCAGAGGTTGATGCATTTATTGACACATTTGCTAGCGTCTAGTGAGTCAAGTTATTCATTTATTATCGATGCCGTCAGAAAGAGCGAAATGAAACCCTTTAGAAACCGCTACATTGATTCAAAACCTATTTGATTTGGCTCTTTAGGAAAACCGGTTTTTTCAGGTTAAGGTAGAGCCAAACCTAAATAAAACGCTCCTAATGTACTGAAAATTAACCGGTAAACAAGCCCTGGTCAAAATTATGTCATAGGAAGGCGGCAAAATCTGTAACGTCAAATATGACTGTTTAAAGTATGTTTCCAATGACACGTACATTTAAGTAAAAATCTACTTTCATTGTTTTGAAATGGTTGTAACCAACTAAGCTTATGGTGGATCAGGAATCAAATCGGCCGATTGTGTGATAACAAAGTTGCTGCAGTAAGTAGCTCAGTACAAAACATTTAACGTTGTCCTACCCTGTTATGCAAATTCGAGTGTACATAACATCGGCTTGGCCGCTCAACGCTGATGTAGATGGATATACCGGTTAGAAGTGCCTCATAAGTTATGCTCTCGCAGTGGATCAGACTGGTTTTTTCCCACTAGTTATGGCTGGACGTCCAGGACGCATGCGCTCCTGGCAGATCTCGTGATTTTCACACGGCGTTTGAACCGGTCCTCGCATAAGCATATACAATTATCTTAGGCTCGATGTCACATATTAGAATCGTGTTTAGGGGTTCTGGATATGTTTTAGTATTTATGATCACTGGCGGAAATGGTGATTACTCAAGCCCAAAGTACGATGAGTTTCAAGTACAGGTGCTTACTAAATGATCACACTAATATTATAAAGGCGAAAGTTTCTGAGTGTGTATGTTTGTTACTTTTTCACGTCTAAACGGCTGGAGCGATTTTAATAAAATTTTGGTAAGGAGTTATCTGACACCCTGGATTAACACAGGCTACGTTTTACTGCGGGAAAATATCTCTAATAAACCACACACCGGTAACACCGCGGGGCGCAGCTAGTTTAATATAAAGACGTGAAAACATTTATGGAACTCGCACTGCGAGTAAATACTGCGACTCGCTTTCATGACATGACATGACAAAGGTTTCCAACGAGGGAACAGCCGAGAGACCATCAGAAATGAAGGGCAGTTAAAACAATAATTTAAGCCCGGGCTTGAAC